ACCAGACCTGGATGAATCTGACTGCATGTAACGTCCAGAGGTTAATAGAGAAAGTCGCGGTGCGAGTACTGTGCCCTTACGGGGCCAAAGCTGTCCCCTTGGATTGTTTCCCAGGCAACGGTTAGACTTCATAGTAGTTACTGAACAACGTGTATTTTAGGGCATCAGGCCCCGCCGTGCACGCACGGCCTCGAACCGGCACACTCAGCCTCATGAACGAAGTCTTGTAACCACTACAACCCTTGGAGGTGTTATAAAACTGCATCCATTCCGGTCTTGATATTCAGCCCACCTCCAGGGCTGTAGCGTCCTTGAACTCACACCACACACACACAACACCACACCACGGACATGGCAATCAACACACTCCGCTYGGACAACACGCAGCCCCACCACCGCTACTTAACCTGGTCACTCCAGGGCGGGCCAACTGCCCGCRGGTTCCACAGGCGCCTTCACAGTAGTTACTGAACAACGTGTATTTTAGGGCATCAGGCCCCGCCGTGCACGCACGGCCTCGAACCGGCACCCTCAGAGTCCGTCTGTTTTTTTTTTTTTTTTAAGCTATATTCTTCTCTCATCTATCCGTTTTATTTGATGTTTTCTTCGGAACCAACCGACTATACATTGGATGGTTTGGTGTATTAATGATTCCAACTCTTTTGACTGCAACTTCTGTATTTATCATTACTTTTATTGCAGCTCCTCCAGTAGGTATTGATGGCATTCGTGAACCTGTTTCTGGCCCCTGATGCTATTGTGTCCATCAGGACTTGAACTCTTGATTTGTTTGATGAACTCGGATGAATACCCCATTTAGCCATAAGGCAGGTCATCTGTTTGCTTTTTTCGCTTACTATTCTTAAGCAAATAGCGGGTCTGGCGTCACGCCCCCGCGAAACCCTGCTCCAAGTGTTGGGAAAAACGTTGGGACTGGCGGCGGGGCCCAACGAACACTCGCGGCCGTTGGGATCGGCGGGCAGGCGGGTTGGACGGCCGGGTAGAGCTTTCGAGAATCCGCACCTGGCCGATTCACGAAGGTTCTATACGGCCGTCCGACCTGCCTGCCGGCCAATCTCGATGGACGGGAGTGTTCTTTCGAGTCCGCCGAAATCTGCGCCTGGCCGATTCGCGAAAGTTCTATCCGGTCGTCCGACCTGCCTGCCTGCCAATCTCGACGGCCGGGAGTGTTCTTTCGGGTCATCAGAAACGGGTCCTTCGTCGGGCCCGCTGTCTGGTATTTCAACCCGTCTCGTGCTTTGCCGTGTTTGACCGCGCGCTTCGAGATTTCGCTTCAACGTGTATGTCTCCTGCTTCCGCACGCTTCGAGATTTCGCTTCAATGTGCATGTCTCGCAGAGAGAGAGAGAGAGAGAGAGAGAGAGAGAGAGAGAGAGAGAGAGAGAGAGAGAGAGAGAGAGAGAGAGAGAGAGAGAGAG